CAAAAGGGAAGAACACACTCAGCATTTCTCAAGCTGAAAGAACTGAAGAAAAAATTCAAGCCTTGAAATATGAAGGAATCTATGGGAAAAATATTGAATGATACAGAAAGCATCCAGAGAAGATGGAAGGGATACACAGAGTCACTGTGCCAAAAAGAATTCGTCGCTGTTCAACCATTTCAAGAAGTAGCGTAAGATCAAGAGCCAATGATCCTACAGGAAGAAGTGCAAGGTGCACTGGAGTAAGTCATCGGCAAAGAACAAGACACTGGGAACAGATGGAATACAAATTGAAATCTTTCAACAAACTGATGCAGTACTGGAGTCACTCACTCATCTGTGCCAAAAAATTTGAAAGACCAACTACCTGGCCAACTGCCTGTGCCCATTCCAAAGAGAGGTGACCCAATGGAATACGGAAATCAACGAGCAATATCTTTGATATCCCATTGAAGTGAAGTTTTACTAAAGGTAATACGAAACTGTCTGTAAGCATACATTGACAGAGAACTTTCACAGGTTCAAACCGGATTCACAAGAGGATGTGGAATGAAGAATATCATTGCTGATGTCAGATGGATCTTGACTGAAAGCAGAGAATACTAGAAAGATGTTTATTGACTTTATGCAAAAGCTTTCAATTGTGTGAGTCATGACAATATATGGACAACATTGAGAATAATGAGTATTCCAGAACATTTAGTTGTGCTCATGAAGAACCTGTACCAAGAGGCTGTTGTTGGAACAGAACAAGGGAACACCAAGTGGTTTTAACTCCGGAAAGGTGTGCACCAGGACTACATTCTTTCACCATACTTATTCAGTGTATATACTGAGCACAGAATCTGAGAATCTGGATTATATGAAGAAAAACATGGCATCAGGATTGGAGGAAGACTCATTAACAATCTGCAATATGCAGATGATACAACCTTGCTTGCTGAAAGTGAAGAGGATTTAAAGCTTTTACTGATGAAGGTCAAAGACAAAAGTCCTCACCACTGGACCAATAGACAACATCCATATCAGTGGAGAAAAGATTGAAGTTGTCAAAGACTTAATTTTGCTCAGATCATTTGTCAGCACTCATGGAAGCAGCAGTCAAAATATCAAATGACATATTACATTAGGTAAGTCTACTGCACAAGACCTCTTTAAAGTGTTGAAGAGCAGATATATAAGAATGAGGGCTAAGCCTCGACTGACTAAGCTCCAGACTAAGAAGCTCTGGTAACGAATCGGGCTGCTAACCCCAAGGTGGCAGTTTGAAACTACCAGTCGTTCCACAGGAGAAAGATGAGGCTTTCTGCTCCCGTAAAGATTTACAGCCTCGGTAACCCTGTGCAGGGTCACTGTGAGTTGGAACCGACTCCACGGTACTTAACAACAACAAAAACGAGGCTCTTCTGACCCAAGCCATGGTATTTTCAGTAACCTTATATGCATACACAAGTTTACAGTGACTAAAGAAGACTGTAGAAGAATTGATGCATTTGAGTTATGGTATCAGGAGAATATTGAAAGTATCGTAGACTGCCGAAAGAACAAACAAATGTTTTGGAAGAAGTACTGTTAGCCTCCTCCTTGGAAGCCAGGATGGCCAGACTTCGTCTCTCGTACTGTGAACACATCAGGAAGGACCAGTCACTGGAGAAGGACATCATGCATGGAAAAATGGAGGGTCAAAGAAAAAGAGGACCTCCCAATGATATGGATTGGCACAGTATTGGCAGTGATGGTCTCAGAGAAGCAACGATTGTGAGGTTGACCCAGGATCAGGCAATGTTTTGTTCTGTTACGTGTAGAGTCGCTATGAGTCTGTGGTCGACTTGATGGCACCTAGTGTCCTGGTTTAGCGCTGTAGGCTAATGTGTCAGACTGCAAAGTCTTTTGAACTATAAGGTCAGGTCGGTGGTTCAAGCTCACAAGCTACTCCTTGGAACCCCTATACAGGATCGCTATGGGTCACAGTTGGTAGATATGCTTAGGGATAAGGACGCCTTTCCTAGACAGCCCCCAGAAGACTCCACACATTTCATTAGCTAGGACTGGGCTCTGTCATGTTCTTAAAGTAATCCTTGTTGCAGGGATAGGAATGTTGTTAAGTATCGTGGAATTGGTTCCGACTCTCAGTGACCCTGCACAGGGTTTCCAAGGCTGCAAATCTACAGCAGCAGAAAGCCTCATCTTTCTCCCGCGGAATAGCTGGTAGTTTCGAACTGCCGACCTTGAGGTTAGCAGTCCGATTCGTAACTGCGATGCTACCAGAGCTCCTTAGGGATAGGCTTAGGGCTTGATAATCATTTATGGTAGAAGGAACGTTTCTGTATAATTCAGTCTCCATGACCAGTATAGTAACTAGAGTAACAACTCCTTTTTAAAGCAGACTAATTTATTGCTTTGACAGACTTGGGAGAAAATAAAGCATAATGAGTTTTCACCACCACTGAAGAGCTGTTTAAGTTCCTTAATTTCTTATAAATGGAGGTGATAATACCTAGTTCATAGAGTTTTAAATGAGAGGAGACACTTACCACGGAGTCTGGAATTTACAAAATATTAAATAAATGATAGCTCAGAGTCCTGGCGTGGTTGTCAGGTGCCATCGAGTCGGAACCTACTCATAGTGACCCCATGCACAGCAGAACGAAACAATGTCCGATCCTGGGCCAACCTCACTACCGTTGCCACACTTGAGTCCATCAATGATGCCACCTGTCCAATCCATCTTTTTGGGGGTCTTCCTCTTTTTCTCTGACCCTCCATCTTACCCAGCATGACATCCTTCTCCAGCGACTGTTCCCTCCTGACAATGTGTCCAAAGTATGAGAGACGAAGCTTAGCCATCCTGGCCACCAAGGAGCACTCTGGCTGCACTTCTTCCAAAACAGATCTATTGGTTCTTTTGGCAGTCCATGGCACTTTCAGTATTCTCCTCCAACACCACAACTCAAGGCATCAGTTCTTCTACGATCTTCCTTATTCACTGTCCTGCTTTTGTATCCATATGAGGTTATTGAAAATACCATGGCTTGGGTCAGGCACACCTTAGTCCTCAAGCTGACATCTTTGCTCTTCAACGCTTTAAAAAGTTCCTGTGCAGCAGATTTGCCCAATGCAATAAGTCGTCAGATCTCTTGACTACTGCTTCCATGAGTGTTGATAGTTGATCCAAGAAGAATGAAGTCCTTGACAACTTCAATCTTTTCTCCGTTGATAAGAATGTTGTTTATTGGTCCAGTGGTGAGGATTTTTGTTTTCCTGACATTGAGATGTAACCCATACCAAAGGCTGTGCTCTTTGATCTTCATCAGTAAATGTTTCAAGTCCTCTTCACTTTCAGCAAGCAAGGTTGTATCATCTACATATCGCAGGTTGTTAATGAGTCTTCCTCCAATCCTGATGCCACGTTTTTCTTCATAGAACCCAGCTTCTCGTATTATTTGCTCAGCATACAGGTTGAATAAGTATGGTGTGGTGCTGTGGGTTAATTCGCAGGACTGCAAAGTTGTTTGAACTGCAAAGTCGGCGGTTCAAGCTCACTAGCCACTCCTCAGAAACCCTATACAGGGTTGCTTTGGGACGGAATCAACTTGACAGCACTTAACAACAACAACAACAACCAATAACTTCTGGTGTGGCGCTGAAGGATAAGCACAGGACTGCATGGTCATTTTGAACCATAAGGTTGGTGGTTCAAACTCACCAGTCACGCCTTGGAAACCCTATACTGGATCACCAGTGAGTCGGAACCGACTCAACGGCACTTACCAATAGTGTTACAACTACTAGTGGTATTTGGATCTCTATGTGCTAGAATTTTGCACTTGCAGTGGTTACGTTTGGGGTGATTTTTCTCTCCTGAAGATCATGCTGTCAGGATGTAGACACAGTCGTGGAACCCTTTTTTCCCTGCTCTAGTTCTCGTGTGTGCTCCTGACAAAACTACAAGCACTAAGGAAGTACTCTTGATCAGAAGGGATTCATTCACGTACAGTGACTCCGTTTCATTACAGGGTATAAAGGTGACACGTTTGCTAGTTGAAAGAGAGGTAAGTGCTAGATCACATGGAAGGGAATGACTAATACAGACTTCTCCCAGTCAGCAGTTACCCTCCCTTCTTTCTATTTGTGTTTACATGACTGCCAGAAATGATTTCTTAGAAAGCTATGCAAATTTTTGTTTCACTGAAATAGATGATTTGTAGTTTTATCTTACTTTATTGTCAATTGCTTTTGTTTTCTAGCCTTAAGCTATTGTCTTTTCTCTTCATATGACCCCTCCTTCCACCTGTTGAGGTCTCTGTTGAAACCCTTAGTTACTATATACTTGACAGTTGAGTGCGGCATTATGGGATAGGTTCAATCGTGATACCAAATCCACTGCTGTCTGCTCCCTTAAAGATTTACAGCCTCGGAAACCCTGTACAGGGTCCCTATGAGTCGGAACCAACTCCATGGCACATAACAACAACAAAGCAAATTCTAAGGAGCTCTGGTAGCATCGTGGTTACAAGTGGGGCTGCTACCTCAAGGTTAGCAATTCAAAGCTACCAGCTGTTCCTTGGAAGAAAGATAAGGCTTTCTGCTCCTTGATTGATAGCCTCGGAAACCCTATACAGGGTTACTATAAGTTGAAACTGACAAGACAGCACATAACAACAACAAAGCAAATTGTTGGCGTCCCAGTGTGGAGCTGTAGAATCACTGGGCTGCAGGTTCCGTTTGAATTGCAAGGTCTTTGTGATCCTCGGAAACCCTATATAGGGTTGCTATGAGTCAGAACTGATTTGATGGCTCTTGACAGCAACAAAGCAAATTGTGTACATGGCTGTGTTAACTAATAATAAATTTAATTGGGGTAGCCTGAAAATGGAAGTGAAGCATATTTTATGAAAGTGATTAACATTTCTTTTATTAATCTTTTTTTTTTTTTTTTTTTTGCTATAAGAAAAATGTAAGCTGCTTAAGGTGTAATGTTCTGTCTTTGGTCTTTGCAGATGGCCTGTTCAATCAGTATATCAGTCAACAGGAATATAAGCCACGATGGAGTCAAATCATTCCCAAAAGCACCAAAGGTAAGCTAACCGTTTCCAGTTGTATGGGTAAGCTGCTGGTAGGTGCTTTTCCTTTAATGGCTTTCATTTTTCTTAAGTGAGCTCATGTCTCACAGTACTCTCTTTAGTAGAACTCAGGTCTTTGAAAGAAGACAACAAGTTCCTTAGCTTGGTGGCAGAATCAATTTATTATGTAAGAGTTTTCGTTTAAACTGTATTGGTATTGTTGTGAAACAGTGCAGTAATGTTGTAGCAGAAGGTTGGGTACATTTTACACAATATATCATAAACTACTTTCATCGAGAAAATTATGTAAAACTGTACGCTATTGGTTTGTAATAAAATATGTACACTCTCGGAAAACCTTAAATTCTGTAAAATTGCTCACTAAACGTAATAGGACTTAGGAGGAAACTAGAACTGGGGTAGACCATTGAAATCTGTGGAGCTTTATAAGTAGATGCCAGTAAGAATTATAGTCCTAGTGTTAGTGAAACAAACACAGGTACAGTGTGGTCTTTACAAACCTCTGCATTGAGCATCACTGGGAGACTGGAACCTGAAGCCTCGCCGCTCATACACAGTTTTCTTTGAGATGGAAATTTTAGAGGATATTTGCTTCCCATAAAACTTATTTTTATCAAAATGGAACATCTGAACCAGGGTGTTTTCAGTCTTCATTAACCCATTGTTGACACATTGAGGGACTTTTTGTTAGCAGAGGGGGAAGTGGAGCAATTCTACCTCGTTGCATTGAAAAGAGGAAGTGAGTGTGTAGCTTTTTTCTTAAGCTCTTCATATATCACTAAGATCTTCTGATTGTTGAGAAAGCTTTGAAACTGACTAGACTAGAAAAAATTCATTTATGAAGCTCCAGAATTTTTACATTAAGCCAGTAGCGTTTATGCATGAGGTGACTTTCTTTAAAGAAACATTGCTGTGTCAGATATGCTATACTTTGTATCAGCAAATGAATGTATTCGATATATAAAATACAAACACTCTGAAAATAAATTGATTCAGATACTTGCTTAATTTTTGAGAGTGGCAGTACTGATGGAGGGTGAGAAGAAGAGAGGGCAAACGTCAGTAATAATGAACCATAAAACCTAGAAGGTGACTTAACTCTTAGGAAGGAGGAAGAATTTGCAGTAAATCTCTGACTGAGCAGCTCTTGCATAAAGTAGTAGTGAAAAGCTGCAACTTTGCATCTGACATTCTGTATAAACGAACTGACACTTCCGTGATTTTCCCAGTACCCGGATGACACTAGTGAGAGTTTGTGTGTTCCTTTCTCACACAGGAAAAAGCAGGTAAGGGAAGCCTTATTAGACATACTTCATTATATTATGTTTTAGCGTTGATATATTTTAATTAATGGGAGACTTAGAAATAAAACTTTAGGCATTCTGACTTACATTAATACATTAGAGTCCTATAACTTTTTGAATCACTGAAATGAGATTGTATAAGATTAGATGCAAATTGAACAATCGTTTTCTTCTTCAAAAGTTGGAAAGTTTCATTGCCTATGTTCAAACCTAGAGTCCTGGTGTAGTGCTATAGGATAAAACACTTGACTGTAAGATCTACAAGGTTGGTAGTTCAAACTCACCAGCCTCTCCGTGGAAACCCTGTACAGGGTTGTTAGGAGTCAGAACCGACTCGACGGCATTTAACAACAGCATATTAAACTATGGGATAGAAATAAGAATCAAAACGAAACAAGTGTTTAGACATTGGCTACCTAAAATTGGGGGTGGGTGGGTGGATATAAAGCCATGAACTGACGGCTTTTCAAGAGGGATTTAGTTTTAGAGTGTGCAGGGGAAGGTAGACTCCCCGCTGAATGGTTTTCATCTTGTCTAGATGGGTCTGGTGAAAGGAGAGAGGGATAAGATTCTTATGAGTCAATAGTGAGTAATTGTTAACATGAATAACTGCAGTTCTCACAACTGTAAAGGTAGAAGTTTTGTAACAAAAAGAGGGGAGTAATTAATCTTACAATCCAGGAACAGAGGATCCTAGGACCATCAAGGAAGAAGAGTATGAGTAGAATGTGGGACCCTATCCAGAGAAGCAGCAATACCAGAGACGGAGGCAGAGATGATGACAGAGAGAGAGGGAGCAGCTGAGGACTCTAGACTCATGGAAAGAGAAAGTCTATGTGCTGGCAGCCAGGAGACAGGCTTGCAGAATGTGCCCTTTGATTGTTTAAATGATTATATATTCCTGAGTGTTTTTGTGTACAACCCCCCAAAATAAAAAATCTCAGTGGCAATAGACGCAAATACTGATGATGCACTGAGGAGAGATTGTAATCATTACAATGAAACGAGTGTAAAATCGATGTTCTCCCATGTAAACTATCACTCAATTCACAATAAAAACTTTTTTTAAAAAATGAAACAAGTGTTAACATTTCTCTCTCACACTACTGAATTAAAATAGTTGGTAAATTATGTGGGTACTGAATTCTGAAATATTGGCACAAAATTAATACAGTAAGGAAATTGTTAATGTAAAACTTGGTAACAGCTCAGCTTTCAGTAACTACTCTTGAGAGCTTTAAAGCTTGCGTTCTAATATACTGTACGTGAAAGATAGACCTGAGATTGAAGTCTGTAATGTTTACCACCTGTCCTTTGTTTTATATTTTTGTGGAATATCCTGTGTCTTTGCTCATTTGTGGCATTGATCATAAATAAATTGAAAATAGCCTCTGATTGCATTAATAACCGGGAAGAAACTAGGAAAAAAGATCGAGATAAATATTAACTGCAACATAGCTTTAAGTCACATTGTTTCTTTCATTAATTAGTTTTCTTGTGCTTAATATTTTGAAAGAATAAGTGCAAGTTACTTTTGATACTAACTGCCGACTTATGAATGAGGTTTTTCTGGATTTATAGTTGTTCTGTGTTTAAAATACCTTTAAAGGAAGGTTTGTTTTTTTACTTTAGGTGATGGAGAAGATAACCGACCAGGAATGCGAGGAGGCCATCAGATGGTCATTGATGTTCAAACAGGTGAGTAATACTTACAGTGGAAAGCAGTGTCTTTAAAGAAAAGAAAGAAATACAAGTTTTCTAACATCTGGTAAACATAAATATATGTTTTATATATATATTTCCTTCTATAATTCTTCCTTCTATTCCTACAAAGGTCAGTATTCCTTCCTGTGGCCAGGCAGCAAGGAGAATAAGTAATGGCCAGGGCTATAGAGCCTAAGCCAGGCAATAGCAGATGAGGGAGGGAGTCTCCTGCACAGATGAAGCAGCCTGTAGCTGTCTGGTCTGTGTGTCGAGTTGATGTGTGTTGGATTTTCATAGAAAACACCGGTGTGATGCTGACTTTTTCACTGCCTTTGTGTTTTAGTGTGGTCGTGGTTATGTGCCGTGGAGTCGGTTCTGACTCATAGCGACCCTGCACAGGGTTTCCGAGGCTGTAAATCTTTACGGGACTAGAAAGCCTCATCATTCTCCCGCGGAACAGCTGGTAGTTTCGAACTGCTGACCTTGAGGTTCACAGCCTGATTCATAACCACTACGCGACCAGAGCACCTTATGTTTTAGTGTAGTAATGTGAATTATTGCAAAAGAAGAGAATTAAGGTATATTTTAGAAGAAAGATAAGGTAGCTAAGTCTTGGTATGGCCATTAATTGCTAAATACTATTCACCAGCCTATAAATAATTTGTCTTACCTTGTTCTTTATTATTTCAATATTACTGAAAAGCTTGGTACTAAAAATTTTTCTTAGATTTCTATAGTTTATTTTAGTTAGGGCAGCCTATGTTAGGTTTCAAATTACCATCTTGAAAAGCAAACAATATAAAAAATTAGGATTTTTTTTAAATTTTTTATTGATCGAGTTAAAGTTTACAGGGCAGATCATCAGTTTTACATTCAACAAAATAATTCTATTTTATTGTTTGATTTTAGGAAATTTTACTGCTTGAGAACCTATATATCCACCCAAGTAATCTTTTACTTTTCCCAGGCGCGATAGATGCTCAGTCCTGTTATTCCTATCCTGAGTCCTGGTGCTTTGGGAATATAAAATAATTCAGAATAAAAAACATGATGTGGTTGCTAAATCTTCTTGGCATTAATGTATTTCATAAAATTTTTGTAAGACGTGAGAAAAGAAATTACAGTAATCTTCTTGAAATTAACCGTTGAATTTGTTTATGTAGTTGGTTCTGAGCTGGCATGGGAGTATTAATTAGGGTTTCTTTAGCAAAAGTTTCACTTCTAGGCACAGGAATCTGATTTTGTAATCTTGTTCCCTACCCTTTCCACCTATAAAAGTAAATTTAAGTCAACTTTTGAGTCTTCAGCATCTGTTTTTCCTGCATTGAAGTCCAATAAATTTGCCTCTACTTTTATCTCTTAAATAACTAGATTTATGTAAAACCTTAAAAAAATTTTATTTTTTAAAAAATCTTCCAATGTTAAAAATGACAGAATTAAAGATAAACACATGTGTTTAGATGCTGTATAGAAATAGTTCCCTTCTTTTGAACAATGAAATTTAGAATGCGTTTCTTTTTAGTCCTATAATGAAAATATTGAGCCCTTAAACTTCTTTTTGTTAATAACATATTAAAGCAGAGTGTTCACTTGAACATATCTAATTTTCTAAGGAAAATACTGTTGTGTGCCATTGACTCATAATTTCCTTAAATGTGAAGTGTCTGTGGCAGTTTACTTCGTTGGCTTTTATATGTAGACAGAGGACTTGTCATAGAACTTACTGTGTGGTACCGTGACATTGAACAGGTTGCTCTGCTTCTGAAAATCTGTCTGAAAACCCTGTGGATCACAGTGGTTGGTGGTTGTTGATCATGGGGTCACCTTGATTTGGGGGCCTACCCAATAACCCCTGACAACCACAACTATATTAATTATGGAAGTATGTGTGTAAGAAAAGAGAAGCAAATTTTCTCTTTTTTTTTTTTATAGTCAATGGAATTTTGAAATGAAAAATTAAAGGATTTAAATGATAGACTTAGTCACCACAGACATTAATACTAGCGAAGTTATTAAGGATGAAAATGTAACTTTTCAGCTTAGAGAGAGTTAAGTGATAAAGTTCCACATGCTTTGTCTTATGTGCTAGAGGCAGGATTTCAGCATACTCTGGATGGCCAGAGACCTTTGAAAAATATTTCAAGGATAGGAAAAGAGTTGTTTGAATGAAGTAATTTATTTGATGTACTTTAGAAACAATATTATTTGAAAACATAGTAAGAGTAATTATTTTGTTATTGTTGTTTCATGCCATCTAGTGAGTTCTGACTCACAGTGACCTTGTGTAGAGTTTCCAAGGAGCAGTTGATGGGTTGAAATGGCCAACTGCAGTTAGCATTCCAGTGCTTATCTTACAGCACCATACCAGGAGTTCTTTCTTCATTATGGAATGCTTCTATAACAGAAATCCCATGAGTGGAGGCTTTAACAACCAGGAACTTAGTCTCTCCCAGTTTAGAGGGCTACAAGTCCAATCCAGAGCGCTGGTTCTTAGAGGGGAAGGTTTTCTCCTTGTTGGTTCTGGGGAAAGGTCCTTGTCTCCTTTCAGTATCTGTTGACCCAGTATTCTTTAAAGAGCTCCATACACCTTGGTGTCAGGCTTTCTCAGGATCCAAGAGCTTCATAGTGCAGGGACCCCAGGTCCAAAGGAAACATTCTATTACTGGCTCTTCTTTCTTTGTTATAGTAGATCCTCTTTCTCTGTTCAAGTCTCTCTATTTTTATCTATTGTAAGATAAAGGTCTTTTATGTCACACCTTTGGGAATCGTCCAAAAACAGGATCAGAATGGTAGTGGGATTTAAAATGGTGTCTTGTGGTTAAGTACTGTTGAGTCAGTTGTGACTCGTAGTGACTCTGTATAGGGTTTAAGTGACTGATGAATTTGAGCCACCAACCTTGTAGTTCAAACCAACCATGTGGTACACCACACCAGGAATCCTAAAGTCCACTGTTAAACCTCTGGTTTGTCACATCACATTACATCGTAGGAAATAGCTACATCTCAGATGCCAAACCACTGAGAATCCTGGCCCAGTCAAGTTGTCATAAAACCGTACCTATCATAGTCCACCCCTTGTCAACTTGGTGCCTGTATGTATCTCCTTAAGCCATACATGATCTCTAAGTAATGATAATCATAAAGTTATCATTCATCTAACAGAATACAGCTAACACATGTACAGCTGAAAGCTCACTAACCCCATTATAGTATCCGTAAATTTTTCCAAGTCCAAATTGTAACCTGAAACAAAATTCCTTTGAAATCTGTGAATCTAGATAACAAGTTATGTGCTTCCAAATAACAATAGTGAACAGGCAAAAGGCAGGCATTTCCATTACAAATGGGAGCAATTGGAAGGACAGATGGCTTAACAGGTACCAGACACGTTAAAAATCCAGCAGAACAATTGACATTAGATCTCAGGACTTGAGAGAATCAATCCTCTGCTGTAATACCCTCTGCTGTCTAGCCTCTGAGTGTTAGCCATGCACTCTGGGTTTGGGGTGTTGTTGTTAACTGCCATGGAGTCACTTTCAACTCATAGCAACCCTGCATAGGATTCCCAAGGTTTTCAGTCTTCAAGGGAGCTGAAAGCTTCATCTTTCTCTTGTGGAGCAACTGGTGGGCTCAGACCGCTGACCTTATGGTTCACAGTCCAATGCTTGTCACATGGAGCCACCATGTTCCCTGGGTTCTGGGTAGAGGCCAGTCAACCCTGAACTTCAGCTCCAGACCCACCGGAATGGCAACTCTGCTCCGTCGACTTTGGCAGTCCTGTTCTCCTTGTCCACCTGAGTGGTGACCCTACCCCTCGGCCTAGGCAGGCCTCATTCTTCTGTTCCCTTGGGCATGGCAGCTTTACCCCCTCAGCTTTGAGCAGGCACCCTGTCTGAACGGCAGCCCCATACTCTGGGACTGAGTGACCCCACTCTTAGAAGCCCCAGGGGTCAGGGTTCTACCTTTAGAGACAGGCGGCTCTGCTTCCTGTGCTCCTTGTCTTTTCGGCTTCCTGGTTTCTCCTGATCTCTAGAGGAGGCCAGCCTGCTCTCTGCTCTGCCCAAACAAGTGTCACAGAGCTCTTCAGTTCTATTGCAAGTGCTCAGAGGCACTCCACTCCACCAGTAAGCCGAAGCCAGAAGATGCTCCATGAGCCACAGAGCCTGACTTTACCAGCAAGTGTCCAGACCCCCCACTCTGCTCAGCTCCCTGACTTCATGGGTTGGTTTCCTGATTGTACAACCAGGACTCTATAAGTAATGCTAAAACTAGAAAACTAGATTTGTTGTTGTTGTTAAGTGCTGTGGAGTAGGTTCCAACCCACAGCAACCCTGAACAGGGTTTCCGAAGCTGTAAATCTTTACAGGAGCAGAAAGCCTCATCTTTCTCTCACAGAGCAGCTGGTAGTTTTGAACTGCTGACCTTGCGGTTCGCAGCCCGATTCGTAACCGCTACACTACCAGATATTTAGCTTAAAAAAAAAAAAAAGGAACTGAAAATGTTAAGAATAATCATTTAATATAAATAGACTTGATTTTTACTGTTACCATTACCTCATATAATGAGAAAACCATATTCTCTATATGTGAATATTGAGGGTAAAATAATATAGAACGTTTTGGTGTGGAATTCTTTGTTTTGGTTATTAAATAAGTTTTTAAAATATGATTTATAGAAAATACGGAGACCTCTTTATTTTCCTATCATAAAATGGGTATAAGGATAAAAATGATGACTCGTTTAAATTTATTACTGACCCAAGAGAGGAAAGCAGACTAGAAAGACATATACCAAATTTTGACATTTGTTTTATTTTATTTTTTCCTTTAAAATGTATTATTAAAATTTGCTGATTTATATGTGGACTGTGAGTTATAGAAAATTATATTCGCCAACATTCATTTTAGGAACTGTATTTATTTGGAGAGTTGCTTGGGGTTCAAGTTCACATGCTGAGAAGTTGTGGTTGTGGAAGAAAGCTAGAATGCAGCTAG